TCACTACATATTGCAAAGCTATACTAACAAAGAATTGTTAAAATACTATGGGTATCTAAAGCTGGTGACAGGCTGTGAAAAGGTACAGTCACGTTAGGGAGCAAAGCTACATAATTTTAGGGAAAAATCATTTGGTTAGCCTAGTTCTCCTGCCTACAGCCTAGCTATGGAATTCCGAGACATAATTCCATTTTGGCCCCGGTCACAACTGAGACCTCAATGGTCCGCTGATGCTGTGATGCTCCAGGACAAGATTACACCAGCTGAAGACATCCTGGGAGGAACAAAATCTTCATCTACTCAGTTCCTCATTGTTCTTGGATTGTTACATCTTGTTTACTTGGATGTACTGAACTCTCTGCAAGTCATTTGTTACATTTGTTTCTCCCGGTGGTACTGAGTACTGAATAAAAGGTGCCCTAAGCTGGGGGCTTTTGTCTTTGCCGCCCGGAGCAGCACTAATCAGACTCAAAGCTCTGCTTCTTCTCAGTCTCATTTTTCTACCTTTCCTGTAATTCGCCGTGTACTGCCGTGGCTCGCAGGAGACTAGGACTTACTGCAGAGGTTCTGGTAACATCCCCTTTCCCTGTTCCCTACACACTCAGGTAAGAAATCTCAATGATATAGCCTCCTCGGTGTAATCTAGAAATTCTACTTCTAGAAATTTTTCCTAAGGAAAACTTTCAAAATATCAAGACTTACAAATGATAGCTCTCATAACAGTACTATTTATAGTAGAAAAATTATCACCTATGTCTTAGTTACTTTCCTCATTTCCTACATTTCCTACACCCATAACTTAAAGGAAGAGAAGTTTATTTAGATTCACAGTTTCAGAAATTTCAGTCCATGGTGGGCAGACTCAAATGCAAAAGTGGCATGGTAGAAGGGCCTGCTTCAGAGGAAAGCTGCTCTTATTGTGGTGGCCAGGAAGCAGAGAGAGAAGAGAAGAGCCCGGGAGGGAGACACTTCCTTCCAGGTTATACCCCAAGTGACCGCCTCTTCCAAACAGACCCCACCTCCCACCAGCACATTTGCTCCTGAACTCATTGAGGGATGAATTCACCAGTGGGTACAGTACCCTGTGATCCAGCCATGTCTGAACATGTGAGGCTTTGAGGAGGTATTCCAGAGGGATGTTTGAATAATTACCAGAATCAAGACAGCACTCTGATCTGCAGGTTCTGCGTGCACAGATTCAATCAACCACAGATAGAAAATATTTTTAAAAATTCATCTGTACTGAATATATGTAGACTTTTTCTTGTCATTAGGCCTTGAACAATAGAGTAGAACAACTATTTATATAGCATTTATATTATCTTGGGTATTATAAACATCCCAGAGATGATTTAAAGTATATGGGAAGGGGCTGGGGATTTAGCTCAGTGGTACCGCCACCTGCCTCGCAAGTGGAAGGTCCTGAGTTCAATCCTCAGTACTAAAAAAAAAAAAAAAAAAAGTATATGGGAAGATGTACCTAGGTTGCATGAAAGATATATATAGTTTTTTGGTATGGGGGATCAAACTCGGATCCTTCCACTTGCGAGGCAGGTGGCGGAACCACTGAGCTAAATCCCTGGCCCTGTTGTATGAAATATTATGTCACTTACATAAAAGATGTGAGCATCAGTGGATTTTGGTATTCAAGGGGTGGGAATGAGGTGCTGGAAACAATCCTCCATGGATACCCAGGGACAACTGTAATCCCACCACTAACATCAATTCAATTTCCATCTAAACCTAGAACGAGCTTTGCACTTAGCCCCTTCACAACCCTTTGATATCAAGCCCATTATCATTCCTCAGTTTTGGAACTTCAGAACAAATTGCCCGTGTTCACACCCCACCCATGACTGGCAGAGAGCAATTCCATCTCAGGCCTCTGTAAACAACAATAATCATGGTGTATTTTTAACAAAATAGGGAAGTGTTTACAGTATGATGCCAAGCAACAAAGGAGAATCTTAAACGGCTCCATGATTTAAAGTGGAAGAGTATAAAATGGATGCAAAATGCGGTACACAGAGAAAGTGGATGGAGGCTACAGAGGCCCTTCAGACACAAGAAGTGAAAGGAGTGAAGGGTGGATTCTGCACCCTGAAGACACCACTGCCACTTTATCAGGGGGTTGCTTGGCCTCCCTGCAGCTCCTGAAATGCTCTGGACTGAGGAAAGACCACTAAGAAGCAATACAGTCCCCCCCCCCCAGTACTGTGAATCGAATTCAGGGCCCTTGTACTGGGCTGTATCTCCAGTGTTTTAATTTTTTTTTATTTTGAGACAGGATCTTGATAAGTCATTAAGTTACCTAGGCTCGAAATTCTCATGCCTCAGTCGCCTAGTGTTACGGAATGATAGGTATACACCCCCATGTCCAGCTGTGCTACATCACTGAATAGGAAAAGGGCCTATAGGACCCAAAGGCTCTGTCAACTAGAGCTCCCTAGCCCCAATCCTCCTACTTGCTGAGGAAGTTAAAGTCATAGTGACTTTAGATTTTGACAAACAGCCAGTGGGACCCATCCTGAGAGAGGAGACTGAGGTCAGATGAGCTACGAAGGTCACAGGACTGAAAGCCTCTCAAGAATGGGAGCAGAGGTCTTGGGATGGATCAGCATCAGCACCACCAACCCCTGCAATCTCAGTCTCTAATGCACAGGGCTTCATCATCAACAGGGAAACTAAGGCCGAGTTACCAGTCCAGAAAGTTGACAGCTTGCAGGGGTGAATCTGAGTCTGTGCCTGCTCTTGGGCACAAAGAACAGCAGCAGGACTAACAACAGTGAAGCTAGGTGCTACTCAGGGCTCTCCTCATAGATTTGGTGGCACCCATGGCCTCCTACCCAGGTCAGTGGTCAGAAACACAAGAAGTCCCAAGCTGCTGCCATATCCGAGGCTTTTGGCTCCTGTCAAGAAAGGGCACCAGGTTCTGTAAAGATCTGCTGAATGGGAGGGAAACACTCCTAACTTTCAAAGCTAAAAGATAGGAGTGTTGTTTTCCATTTCCCTTGAAATGAAATCTGTTAGCTAGGAGCTTCCCAAACCTCAATCCCCAGAAACCTGGAGCCTAAATTTAGATTGTCCTTGGAAGATCAACAGGTCTCCCTGGGGCAGGGTCAGTCGGCAGCTGCTTAAGATAAACTGCTTTTCTGCCGACTCAGGCCTTTCTCTCACACAATTAATGAGATCCTGCAGCACTTCCCTTGGGAAAGCAGAACAATAGCTGTAAATGAGCAGATGGCCATGGCCAGGCCTGCCTCAAGCCCCTCACAAAAGATCAGGATTCATGTTCCTGCACGGCCCTCTTTGACACACACTGACCTTGGCTGGCAGGCCTTGGTCCACTGTGTCAATCTGGCTACACCAGCCTCTTTCTGTCCCCAGACTGACTCTGAGGCCCATCCCACCCCTAGGATCTTTTATCTTTTTTTCACGTTGTTAGGGATGGGATCCAGTGCTTCACACTTGCTTGGCAAGTGCTCTACCAGTGAACCACATTGCGGCCCAAAATGTACCCATGTACCTCTCAGAATTTGCTCCCATGTTTTCTTCTGCTCTGCTGGGAACTTCTTCCTTGAATCCTGCTGAAATGTCACCTCTTTATTGAGGCTTTTGCCACTCTCTTTCCTGTCAAGACATTGGTTGATGGTTTATTGTCAGTCTCTCAAGCTTCCTGTATTGTGTGCTCTGGCAGAGACAGTGCCTGGCACACAGTAGGTGGTCAAATCTCCAATGAGTGGAAGGATGGGCTTGTCTTCATGCCCCTCTTGGATCTGGACTAGGTCACTTAGAGGCTATCCTCAATCTGTGGGCAGGTTCGATGGAAGCAGTGTCAGCTCTGCTACCCTCCAGGTCCTCTCTGTACTGGTTCTGGGTCTACTGTAAGTGGGCACCATGACCACACATGCAGCCTGAGATTTCACAAAAGGTCCTGGAGATACTGTGAGGTTGTTGTCAAAGAGACAGGAGCTCACTGGGGCCACTGCAGGGTGCCAGGCTGGGATGGGCCCAAAGTGGTCAAGAGAGGGAAACCAGGTAGGCAGGTGAAGGGAGAGAGCCTTATCCAGATTGTACCCCAAGGGTTGAGGCTGGATGAGCTGAGAAGGCTGCAGCAGCAGTTGACCCAGGAAGATAGTGGTGTGGAAGGTAGAGGGAGGGCTAGGAAAGGTCCCAGAATGGAGCCAAGGAGAAGCAGAATTAAGAGGGTGGGCTCCTGTGGTGGATGGGTGAGGGGACTTGCAGGAGGACCTGTAAGAGAGAAGTGATCTATAAATCTGCAGCAGGAGGAAGACATCCAGGGATACGATGGCTGGAAGGAGGTGCTCCACTCTGTTGGGGAAGGGAAGCTGCAGGCAAGCAAGCACTCTAAAAACTACCCTCAAAAAAAACCACTTCCCTCCACCCCAGGATCCAACAAACTTGCCTTCAGCACCTTCCCATGCTAGAGGAATCAGACACTGGCCTTACCTCATTTATGCCCTCAGAGACATCTCCAAGAGGGAGAAGAAATCTAGGGCCCAGGAGGGGGAGATTATCAAAGTCATGTTGATGACTGGCCTCAACAAAGCCACTTACTCAATGGAGAGCCTGAGCACTCTGAGCCAGAGGAAAAAATGCACCCAGCAGTCTCAGTCTAGGGCTGGGAGTCCAGACTTAGCTGGAAACAAACGGGCCATCAGGGGATGGGGAGGAGACTACTGGAAAAGGGCTGGTGCCCCATGGGCCTGTGGCCTAGGGCCCCCACCTGAGCCTTAGGGGGCCCACAGCATACACCCCAGTGGACCTTTCAAGAAATGGCTGGGCCATTGTGCAGAAGAATGCCCGGAAATCCCCGCGCCTCCCTCCTCCAGCAAGGATGGGGGCTCTTCCTCCTGGCCAGGAAACTCCAAGTTGGCTTCCGGAAGGTGGCCTGGGGGCTGGGGTGGCAGGCACCACCACCACTGGTGGGAGGGTTGTACACAGCCCCTATGTCCCTTTGTGTCTCTGCTGTCTGAGAACCAAAGTAGGCTGGCTAGCTGGGGCTTGTGGAAACAGAGCCAATGACTTTCGTAAGTGGTGCTGCCTGACCTGGACTTCAAAGGATGGAGGATAAGCAGCGCCAAAGGAAGAGGAGCAGCAGGCCAATGCAGAGGGGTCTCGGAAGCCACCACACAGGGTTAGAATAGGTGTTGCCTAGATAAGGCCCTTGTGCTGCCCACTTTGTGCCAGGGCCTGACCACCAGGGAGGCAGTGTATTGGTGGTGTTGGACAGGTCCTTGGGTGTGGGTGGGATCCTGGGTCTGACCTCTCACAGGTTTGCCATCTCTGCTTGGTATGGCTCCTCCACAGTGCTGAGGCTGAGGGCACTAGGGAGGGAAAGTGCAAGGAAATGGGCCTGGCTTGATCTCCAGGACAGGCTTTCTGGAGAAAGGCCTAGTGTACTTACTTCAGCTGAACGAAAGGACTGCGAGAGCCTCCCAAGCAGGCCTCTGCAGGGTGATATTGCGGTGGGGTTGGCTCCTGGAGCCAATGGTCAGGGAAGAGCAGAGCTAGCTCCCCTGTGAAGGACCTTCAGGCTTGGTCCAGGATGGAGGATGCAGGGGGCAGTTCAGTCTGTGTGTCATGAGCTCCCAAAATGCCGGGGCCAGGACGCGCCAGAGGTGGCTTTAGGAGCGAACGCCCAAAGCCAGTCCAGAACGCTCTGGGTTGCAACTAGGACATCGGTGGGAGGGGTCTGTGGCCCAACTGGGTGCGGTCCCTGAGCCCTCAGCTACCCCAGCCTTTCTGTCTGCAACTTCAGGGGATGGGGAGCCTGGGATTGGCTGCAGGCAATGGTCTGCGCAAGGATTGGTTGCTCTGGTCCCGGGGGTTGGGTCCGGAGGTAGCAGATCCAGCCCCGGAGACTTCAAATGGGGAGCCCCCAAGAAGTCCCAGCAGACCGGAGGTGGTGATCTGACCCGCGCGGCGAGCTAACTGCAGGCGGAGATCCGGCAACGCGGGCTAAAGGGCAGTAGGGCTCACGCGGGGAGCCGAGCCAACCAAAGCGCCGCCGCCGAGCGCAGGGCGGCCCGGGGACCATCGGGCGCGCGTCTCGCCTACAGCCATGGGGTCTGCATCGCTGGAAATCCTGGGTCTAGTCCTGTGCCTGCTGGGCTGGTTGGGCCTGATCCTGGCGTGCGGGCTCCCCATGTGGCAGGTGACTGCCTTCCTGGACCACAACATCGTGACGGCGCAGATCACCTGGAAGGGGCTGTGGATGACTTGCGTGGTGCAGAGCACTGGGCACATGCAGTGCAAGGTGTATGAGTCTGTGCTGGCGCTGAGCTCTGAAGTGCAGGCGGCACGGGCGCTTACAGTGGGCGCCGCGCTGCTGGCGCTGATCGCGCTCTTCGTGACCCTGGCTGGTGCGCAGTGCACCACATGCGTGCCCGCGGGCCCGGTGAAAGCGCGCGTGGCCCTCACTGGCGGTGCGTTATACGTGTTCTGTGGGTTGCTGGCACTCGTGCCAATCTGCTGGTTCGCCAACATTGTTGTCCGTGAGTTCTACGACCCCTCGGTTCCCCTGTCGCAGAAGTACGAGTTGGGCGCGGCGCTGTACATCGGGTGGGCGGCCTCGGCGCTGCTCTTGTGCGGTGGTGGACTCGTGTGCTGCGGCGCCTGGGGCTGCGCCGGCCGCCCAGACCTCAGCTTCCCAGTCAAGTACTCAGCCCCGCGGAGACCCACGGCCAGCGGCGACTACGACAAGAAGAACTACGTCTGACTGCGCGGGGTACGGCGGGGACCCCTCCTTAAGCCAAGCCCGCGAATTGGAGGAGCGGCCTTAGAAGCTGCAGCCACCGCTGGGTCGCGCCCAGCACAAACTCCACCGAATGTCGGACTCAGTGTATCGACCCGACCGGCTCACAGCCTAGTTGGTCCTCTCTGATGGCCACCACCCAGGCCCTGGCCCGCGCCCTTCCCTGAATAGATGACAAGCACTTAGGAGGACTTGATAGAGTTCCTTTGTGTGCAGCACTGACCATGACATGGGCGGGGCTCTCGAACTCAACTGGGGAGTGGGCACCCCACTACAAATGCCAATTTCGTTCTCTACCCAGGGATGGGGTGGGCGTGGGAGGGATCTTGGATGCTGCCTTTCTTCCCATCCCTCCGACAGATCTGGGCGGGCAGGTGAAGGGCCTAAGACCCCAGCCCGGAAGGATGTGTATGAAGGGCCTTTTCCCTTTCAGCAGGGACTGAGCCCAAAGGACCAAGTGACTTCCTTTGGACCTATTTGTGTAACCTCCGCAGCCCCCCAAGTGAGGCTTGTGGACACCGGAGCCTGGGTGGGGCTGGTCCACTGCCCTCCTCCAAGCTTGGAGGGGGTTGGAGAGGTTAAGAATTTGCTTAGTAAATAGTTTGAACACTCCCACTGTGTCCTGTCCTCTGTCCAGTCACCCCAATGCCCAGCACTCCCATTCACCTACCTACCCATCACCTCCTTCCCAAAGATTCCTGTAGACTGAACTTTTCCTGCTTTCCCTGCCATCTGGTCACCTTCCCATCAGAGACTTGGATATAGGTCACAGCAACCCAGGAAAGTGAGAAGAGTTCCATACTGATTCGTGGGGGTGGGGGAGTCCCCAGCAGAGGGGATCAGGTTGGAACTCCACACTAGGGATCTGCCATTAGGGACTTGGAGAGGGCTGTTTCTCCGAGGAAAGGCCCACTCCCCCCCCACATACCACAGGGTGATGTTTCCACCTGCCCTCTAGTGCTTACCTAGCTGAGTACTATCTGTACAAAGCCAGACAAGGCCCTCTTCAACAATGGGGTATGAAGGAGTGAATCCTCGACGGGAGCTGGTTCCAGCAGGGTTTGCTGCAGGTCAACAGTGTTGCCATGGGGAGGAGGGGCCTGTTGCCCAGAGTACCTTGGCTTGGCTCCAGCCCCTTGTCCTGGCTCCTCTGCCAGTCACAGCATGGCTCTGTCCAGGGTCTGTGCCCATTTTAGACTGGTGCCGGCCATCTGTACCTCTGTGCTGGCTCTACTGGAAACACTCTGTGTGACCTAACTACTGGAAGGAGGACTAGAAACCAGTAGAGTTCAGCTCCTATGAGGGCAGAGGTATTTATTATAGTCACTGAACTCATTGTTTCCATCTGTTTTAGGCACTTTGTGTGCTGTTGTTTTTTTGGTACTGGGGATCGAACTCGGGACCTTGTGCTTGCAAGGCAGAGGCTGGAACCAGAGCTAAATCCCCAGCCCTGTTTTAGGCACTTTGAATTGGTAGTTTTACCTTCTTCTGCCCAAAGGCCAGCAGTGGGAGTACAGCAGTAGATGGGGATGGAGACTGCAAGGTGCTCCAAGACAGCCAGCAAGAAGGCTTGGCATCTGCCCCAAACTCTGGCCTTGAGGCTCTGCTCAGAAACACCTAGGGCATTATCTAGTGGCAGTCTCGCAAGCCTGACCAGGTTTCTCATCATGGAGCACAGTCCTAAGGATATGGGCTCATGGCAAATTCTCAAACTCATGGGGGAGCCACCATTGAGAGTTCTAAGGAGGCTAATCGCTCCAATGCCTGAAGCCCAACAATGAGATGAGGTACCAGAAGAGGGACACCACCCCACCACACACACACACACACACACACACACACACAGAGAGAGAGAGAGAGAGAGAGAGAGAGAGAGAGAGAGAGAGAGAGAGAGAGAGGTCCTCAGCACAGCATGAACTGCAGCCCTATCTGGGCCTGTGCAGCAGGGACTAAGAACAGCCCTGGCCTAGATCATGTGATCCTGGAGTCACAATCTGGGCAGAACCAGAAAAAAGACCCTGATACATCTGGGGCTGGATAGTGCAGGGGCTAGGAAACGTAGCCAGGAGCTGCCCTGGGCAGCTCATCCCACACAGTTCTGTTCCATGTGTACTCTGCATTCAGGGTGGCGGTACAGCCTCAAAGCTTTTGCAAATGGCCAGCGTGGGTAGCCTGAGGGTCCTGGAGAGCAGGCCACCATCCACCTGACTCATGCCAGGAAGGGCAGGGGCTAACTCCAGCTGGTAGCTACTGGCACCACAATAGGTTGGGAGTGAGAAGCCAGTCTTTAACACAGCCCAGCCCCACTGTGCCCACTGCCCTTCCTCAAGGACAGCCCCACCTACTGTGGTCTCACTTCCAAACCACTTTGTGGGCTTTTCCCACTAACTTAAATCTGCCCAAAGAACTCCTGACTTCAAGGACTGCACCCAACACTGCCTCCTCCAGCACTCCAAGTGCCTCAGAGGTGGACCTTTCCCCCACCCACCTGCTTCCCCAGCACCTGTGTCCCCAGGAAGTAGCTACAGGAGGCTCATGGGAACAGCTCATGTGCAAGGGCAGGAAACACAGGAACCACACTCTTCTCACCTGTTAACCCCTCCACACTCATGGCCAGGGTCCATCTGTGAGGGGTGGGGCAGCTGACCCCAAGACTCCCCTGACTGGAAAGTTCTTGATGCTCTGGGGCTGTGGAGGTTGTTGAGGTCTTGACCAGTTTGGATCTTCTGGGACAAGGTTGTGAGTGATGCCAATGGCAAGGCCTGGGGGTCTCCATCCAAGACCTGCTCAGCCAGCTGGGCTCTTGCAGTCAAGGCCAGGTGGACAGGAAGAAGCAATGGGCAGACAGACAGAATAGGTCCTATGTGGCATTGCTGGGTCACTACCAGCAACTGGTGGAGGGACTGTGAAGAGAACGAGGTGCTAAAAGGTCCAGCCTCTACCCACTGCCATTGGGAGGCTGGGAGGGAAGGGCAGGGAAACCTTGTCATGGGTTTAAGTGGAGGCCACATCCTTGTGCTACTTGCTCAGCATGGAGGATGGTAGGAGCATAGGACCAATGGTTCCCTGGACCCAAGGAACACTCAGGGTATACCCAAGTGCTGGCCTCGAGACCAGAGCCATGAGGGGGAACAGAACCTAAAAGAAGTATTTTATTCCATTAAAGCCACCTTCCTTGCATTTGAAACTGTCCATAACTTACAATCTAAATAAAAGCCAGGTAATATAAATAAGGAGAAGGAAGTCATTTCTGAAGAAATCAAATTCTGGAAAAGAAAAAAAAAAGTTGCAAATAATTCTGGTATCTCCCCAAATGTGACAAACTGCACATTCCTGCTTCTGAGCAGCCTCAAACCTAGGGGTAGGGGTGAGTATGCGGGGGTGGAAGGTCATCCCAAGTCCACTAAGGAACCCACTGTCCTCACTGGATGCCCAGCCCAGGTCCAGCCTGTCACCGGGGTGACAGCCCTGGACATACTCATGGACTCTAGCATCTTTTCACCTATAATTCCCTGACCAGCTGCATGTCCCCCCTGGGATAGCCTCATTTTGGGCTCACACAGGCTTCTCCCCTTGTCTGGCCAGTCTCCCCTTCTGTCCCCCAGGCCTCTATGCCCTCTAGCTTCCAACTCACCACGGATGGGGAACAGGGACTAAGGGAACCTCTAGGTCAGAGCCTTGGCAGAGCCATCTGCCATAGGAGTAGCCTCTAGCCTAGGGCTCAGACAGAGGCAGGGCTGGGTGTGGTAGAAGCCCTAGAGTGAGACTGCCACACAGACACAGGGCAGGACCCCTTGTATCATTTCCCAAGGGGCATCATGTGGGTCAGTGGGAAGGACCTAGCTGAGGAGGTGTCCTGGGTCACAGTGACCCGTCAGTAGCTTGCAATGGGCCTCTCAGGATAGCTATGCATTGGTTGATGGCTCACAAAGGACTGACATTTCATAATTTGCAGTCAGGCAGGTGCCAACAACTTTGCTTTCTCAAGGGTCTCACATATAAAAGCCCCGATAGCTGGTTCTGTGGGCTCCCCTGGGGCCTGACATGAAGACTTTGGGGGCAGGAGGCTCTAGATGGCCTCTGGGGGCAGCACCACAGACACTGTACATCACACACATTGCATACACAATGCCCAGCCCTGCAGTGTAATCAGAGGAGGGTGAATGCCAAGTCTTTCTAAAGGGATCAAAGGGACTTAATGAAATTAGCTTCCTCAAAAATGCCCCACTGTGGCCCTGCTGGCAGCCTGAGGACAGACATTCTTGGGAAAAATGTGTTGGCTCCAGATCTCCTTGATAACCCAGCCCTGATTTGAAACCCAACTAAAAGCCTTCACTGAGGGAGGCTAAAGCCAGAGTCAGGGCAGGCCTGTGACAGGGCAGCCACCCCACCATCCCAAGGACCCCCAGCCCGGACAGCTCACCCTCAGGACAGCAGAGAGACAAGAGCATCAAGGAACTTGCTCCGATCCTCGGTTTTCAGCTCAATTACTGAAGTAATGAAAGAAAAACATCTTTTGAGAAGGGAGGAGCGAGAAAAACAAGCAGGGCACATATACTCCCTCTTCCTGACATTCTCAGTGGGAGCAGCCCTCTACTGCATTCCATACTGGACAGGAGCTTCCATGGCCTGGGATATTCTAGATGACTTCAATTCATCTCTCCATCTGCTGGCTGCATTTGGTGGAGAGCTCAGAGCCACGGCCTACAGGGAAGACTCTGGGAAGCCAGAGACTAGCAATAACAGCCAATAGAGGACTAATGTAACAACTCAGAGCAGTACAGACCCAGAGAGGGCTGGGCCTTCCCACACTGGCAGTAGACGCCTGCCTCCATCGTGGGTGTGGGGGGCCCAAGGTTGGGCAGGAGTCCACTTTAGCCTGCTCTGGCCAGTACTATAGCTTCAGTGTCTTCTGTGGAAGGAGCCATAATACAAACTGTATGCACCTTGGAGAGCCATTAGGCTCAGCCAAGCATGTCAACCTTCCTCAGACAGTGCAAAACCAGGCTCTGGAATACAGCTGGCTTATCTTGACAATGGTCCAGGCCCAGCCCACCCACGTAGGTACTGGCCATGGCTCACTCCACACTCCTCATCCAGGACTCTCCAGTCCTCAGGGGAAACTAGGCAACTCCCACCCCCAAATCCTCCCTTGTATAACGGAGGTGGGACACCCTGCAGGCCAGCTGTAATCAATCTCTCCATATTATGGGCATGAAAGAGGAAGCAGGGGCTGTTGCTCAGAGGGGACTGATACCACACAGCTCCACAGTGTGACTGCTCCGGCACAAGGAAGCAGGCTCTGAGACAGCCAAGGCAACCTGAATACAGGAGGTAATAATGTAAGAAAAGGACCTTTCTGAGAGATGCAGGTAAAATACTGCGGGGTACTATAGGCTGAAGTGTGCCACCCAAATTCTGAAACTCTGACTTCCAGCCCCTAGGAACGTGACCGTATTAGGAAACAGGGCCTTCAAAGAGATGAATAAAGTAAATTAGACCTTCAGGGTGGCTCCTCATCTAGTGTGCCTAGTGTCCTTTTAAGAGGATCAGGATACAGATACACAAAGAAGGATGATTATGTGAAATTACAGGGAAGAGGCTGTGGAAGGAAGCAACCTGGCTGATATCTTGGTTTCAGGGACCTACCTCTAGGGCTGTGAGAAAATAACCTATGTAAGCCACCCAGTCTGCAGTGCTCTGCAGCCCCAACAAACTAGAGTGGGAGGAGTGATGATCAGTCTGTTTAACTTTAAAATGTTAAGAAGAATAAAAAGACAAACACAGCTAAACATGGATCATGTTCCAGGTTGGCATTTGGGGAAGTTATTGTCAGGCTGGACCCTCTCTCTCTCATGTGCGGGACCTCCCAGTGCATAAGAGGGGCCAGAAGTCAAGCCCTCATACTGAGATCACATTGTGGCCTCAGGCAGGACCTTCCACAATGACACAGGCTCTGGCCTGAGCCATGGTGGCATGTTTGGGTTGCTGCAGGCCTGCTGTTTCCTGGCCCACACCAGGGCACTAGAGACACAACAGTGAGTGGTGAGGCTGGGCCCCAAAGGTTCCTACAGCCAGTCCTCCAAGCTTGGCGGAAAGTGATCTTCGGGGCGGGCTGTACAGCCACAGCTGCGCATCCCGCTCCCCAGAGTTGGAGCACCCTGAGCCTCTGGGAGTAGCTTTGCCCGGGACTGGTTCTAGGAGAACAAGAGGACTGCTGGGCAGATTGGGCTAATCAACGCTAGCTTACCTGGTTCTTAGGCCATCACTGACCTTGAAAGATGGCAAAAGTATGGCCAAAACAGCTGGGACTCTCACCTGAGAGGTCAAAGTGGTTGTGCAGCGTCCGAGAGTTGGTGCTTTCTGCCGCTTTCTCAAACGCACGTCCAAAAAAACTGCAGACAGAGGACAGCCATGTTGCAGGCCAGGCCACCTACAAGGGACCCTTCTTTCTCCCGACAGACACTGAAGGCCAAACATCACTCAGCTCAGGCACAGGGCTGATGGGCCAATGTGCAGATACCTCCAAAGTCCTCCCACACCTGCCATTTTTGGATAAATGGAAGCAGCTTACTTCTTTCTGTCTGAGCTGTCAGTCTCTGGGGGGATGCCCACCATGGTCACTGCGCCCTGCTCCACACTCAGGGGGGCAGCCATTACCAGGGGCAGCAGCTTGCAGCGTCGGTTCTTTGTCTACATAGATAAGGGCACCCTCAGTTACAGCATAGCCAGATCCAGCTCCATGGGTGGAGCATACCATCTAGCACTCAGGATCCCCAACAGTGCTAGGTCACTCCCCAAAATCCTCCGGGTACTGTTCATCACCAGAAGAGATTTAGAGTCCCCATGTGGAGCTTCAGAACCAGATTCCCATCATCCACCAGCCTCACCCTAATGCACCTTGGCTATTCCCTGTAGGGGCTCTGCCCTGTGGTGTTCCCCCATTACCTCCTTCAGGTCCTGCTGCAGCTGTCACCTCCTTCAGGATCTGTACCTATCCTGTTTATTTCTCTCTGATGTGTGAGCCTCTATCTAAAACTGCACGCCCTCATTCTTCATGTAGTCCCCTCACCTGCATGTGCACTCCCTCAGGATGGAGACCGAACGCTTTCCTCACTCCTTAACTAACAGTTCCCATACCCTTCAACCAATGTGACTAAATGTCCTGATTTGTGCAGGACTTAGGAGTGATCTGAGAGGGTAGATCACTCTATGAAAATGGCCTGACAGGTGAGAGTTAATCAATGTCTTATTGAGGGCCAGGGATTTAGCTCAGTGGTTCCACCACCTACCTGCCCCACAAGCGCAAGGACCTGAGTTCGTTCCCCGGTATTGAAAAAAAAAGTCCCAATGTCTTACTGAATGGATCCTGTGAAGTGGGTATTTGTTAACCTATTTTGTGGAAGAGGAAATGGAGGCTCAGAGATCAGATAATCTACCTCACATCACACAACTGATAAATGAGGAGGTTGAGATTTGAACTAAGCCTAGAAGACTTAAAAGCTCATATTTGACACCTAATTCATTTTCTGACATTATAGTCATCCCTTCGTAGCCACTGAGGATTGGTTCCGGAACCCCCATGGATACCAAACCCCAAGGAGGCTTAAGTCTCCTATATAAATGGTGTAGTGTTTGCATAGAACCTATGTACATCCTCTTGTGTATTTTAAATCATCTCTAGTCTACTTACGATACCTAATACTGTCCCTATACATCACTTCATCTGCATGGATTCAGTGTACTACATGGTACACAACAAATTCAAGCTTGCTTTTTAAAAATTTCTGGAATTGTGTGTGTGTGTGTGTTTCTAGGCAAGCACCCTATCACTGAACTATATCCTCAGCCTTTCCAAAATATTTTTGATCCATACATAGTTGGTTGAATCTGAGGATGCAGAACTTGCAGAAATCGATGGTTGATTGTACCTGACTGTCTTCACAGAACACTTACATAATTTTATTGGTTACTTCAGCAGCATGAGTAAATTTCAATTCCCTGTTACTCATTTTGCTTAGAACAGCCCCCCACATAAGCCCTCATTCTGAAGGACAGTAAGACTTTGATTTCTGAAATGTTCAGGAACTATCTTTTCTGCAGTAGCACCTGGGAGGACACCGGGGAGGAGCTTGATGTCCGCAGGGTGAGGACCCTTGACTAAATACCAGCTGAGTTAGGACTGTGTTCCAAGCCAAGGCAAAGAAGCATGTTAGGCCACATGAAAAATAAACTCATACACAGAAAGTCAGCCTAGAAGACAAATTTGCTACAAAGTAAATCGGTATTACAACCAACTCCATCTTTTCTTGCTCTGTCATCTCTGAACATAAGCCCCAGCCCCACCCCTCTATGTAGGCCTCTATTTTTTCGAGCCACTTGGACAGCAAATGATGTAATCAGGACTTGTGAGAAACCAGAAAGCTCCTAGAGGTCAGCTGAGGAAAGTACAGGTCAGAAAATACAAGGGATATTCCCAGCCCCCACTGCTGGTGAATAGTTACAGGTACCTACAGGACACTGCCTTAACACCTGGTTCAGTGCACTCACTGAGCATCTGCCCTCCTGTACCCATGCCACACCCTCCTGGCTCCTCACCGAACACACAAAGGACTTGAGCAGTTGTTTGCTGAGCAGGCTCAGGGACACTGGCTTGGAGAACAGCACAACATCTGGAGTGCCCTGGGATGGGGAGACAAAAGTCAGAGGAGGCCACTAGCAGGCGTGGCTTGGTATGTATGTAGGCATCAAGGGAACCCTGACCTCCATAAGGGAGCAGTAGAGGAAAGGCCCCTGGGAGATAACAAGGTTGGTGCAGAGGCAGCTGGCAATGATCTGCTGGGTGGCTTGCAGTTGCTTCTTGGCAAGTTCCAGGCCCAGGTACAGCTTGTCCAGGTTATTCCTAAAACAGGGCAGACATTTGCCTTAGACATTGCATGTCCAGAACTCTTAGTGAAATACCAAAGTCACAAATAGGTCACTTGGTTCCTGGTTCAGGAAGAGATTTGGAAATAAGTTTATCTTCTCTCCCCCTGAATTCTCTTTCATATGAAAGGAAGGAATAAAAACAAGTATAAACCCAGAGGGACAGAAATGAGAGGGGGGAATGGGTGCTGGCATCAGAAGACGGGAGACTGAAGATCCTGCAAAGGAGGTCACAGGAAAGTGCCTGGAAGGCTCTGACAGAGGGGAGGCTTGGGCAGGGGATGGGGAGGTACAGGGGACTCCTCCATCCAACAGATAGATGTTTACTCTTCCCCTCCAAAAGGGAAGGCTCCCCTCTAACATATGAAAGAACCCTCTGAAGAAGTAGAGTCTTCAAGCAAAGCTTCTATGCCCAGCAATTAAGAGTCCCAATACATCACAGTTGCCAGCCTGCCTGCTAGAATGATGTTTTGGCCAGCAAGTTGTGCCCAGATACCCAGAGCTCAGCCAAGATTCCATAGCCCCATTTCTGAATATGAAAGACACCAGAGAATTTGGGAAACACTCGTTGCCTAAAAAATGATCCTGGGGCCGGGGATTTAGCTTAGTGGTTGCGCTGCTTGCCTTGCAAGCACAAGGACCCAGGTTCGATCCCTGGTACAAAAAAACAAACAAACAAAAAAAAAAAAACCAAAAAATGATCCTGGGAGGAAACAGATAATTTAGAAAATAGAAGAAACTTGAAATCTACTATCTTCAGAGATTTAGGCAATTATTACATTCCTAAATCAAGAACAGGATGCTATAAAAAAGGAACCATCAGGCCGGGGATTTAGCTCAGTGGTTCCGCTGCCTGCCTTGCAAGCACAAGGTCCTGAGTTCAATCTCCAGTACCAAAAAAAAAGGGAACCATCAGAAACTAGAAAGTGTAGGTGGAAATTAAAATAGTTGCAAAAAATAAAATATTCACTCAAAACCTAGAGGATAAAGTCAAGAAAACCTTCCTCAATATCTATAACAAAACAAAGCCACAGAAAATGAAAGACAAAAATATACAGAACATTATTCCAGGAAAATCAGAAAGCAAGATTTAAAAACATGATGTCTGTGTAGAGAGAGGTGAATGATAAAGAAATAGTAAAAAAGCACTCCTGCAGCTCCAAGACCTGGGTCTGCAGGTTGAAAGGGTCGTCTGAGAATGCAGTGAAATGCAGTGAATAGGATGTGCCTAGACAAAGCATTACAAAATTCTAGAATACTGAAAACCACAAAGGAGATCCTGAAAACTTCTGGAAGTAGGGTGGGGGGTGGGGCATTTACAAAGAAACAAGACTCAAAATGGCCCAGACTTCTTACTGACATAACAGCACTGGCTGCTGGAAGACAGGGGCACAATGGAATCCACAGTCACCAGAAATCATCTTCAATCTTGAGTTCTATATGAGCTCAACAGAAATTAGATGAGGCTAAAAAACGATATTGTCAGACACAGAACTCAAAGTTTACTGCATATGCACCCTTTCTTTGAAAATCAGTTGAGCGTTGTGCTCTAGTAAAATGATGGAGTAAATGAAACAGAGACAAGGAATACTAAGAAATGCTGGCTCTAACTACAGAGGTATAGACAAGGGACATCTATGGTGACAATGGGTAGCCAGCCTAAATAGTCAGATCCAGGTTAGAGTGGGCCTGAGCTACATCCCTAGACCCCAAAGTGTAAGCAGGTAGGAAAAGACCACCAACCAGCTACAAGGTTAGTACATTGTCAGCATCAGTGTGGGAGAAAATGGAGAGGCGGTGAAACATAAAAACAGTTAAAAACTCCAGGCAATGGGGAACAGTGGCCAAAACTGAAAGGAGCAGGTTAGTTCAATGGGCCATGTACAAGCAACCAAAGCAAAGTGCAAGGGGCCAAAGAAAAATGCAAAGGGCCAGCCACACTTAAGAGTATAAAGGGCCAGAGAAGTCAAGCCCCTCAAAGTCCCTTCTGACCCATCAGAGCTTCTTTCTGCACTAGACCTCTCACTGAGGACAAACTGCTGAGAATGGGGCCGGGGATTTAGCTCAGTGGTTCTGGCGCCTGCTTCACAAGTGCAAGGTCCCGAGTTCAATCCCCAGTACCAAAATAAAACAATTAAGCAAGGGTGAAATAATAAAAAAGCAAAGAGAAAGTACAGATAAAACTGTATCCGGATTGTGCTAGAGGTTCTAACTAGGACAATTAGGCAAGAAAATGAAATAAAAAGAACTCACATTGGAGAGGAAGAGGTAAAACTGTATTTCAGATGATATGATATAATATACAGAAAAGTTTAAGGAATCCATTTTTTAAAAAAACTATTAAACCTAGGGCTGGGGTATACCTCAGTGGTTAAGCACTGCATTTTTTTTTTGTTTTTGGGGGGATTTTTTGCAAGGTCCTCCTGGGTTTCATCCCGAGCACTGAGGGGAAAAAAGTCCAACAGAACCAAGAAATGAGTAAGATCAATATAAAAAACTCAGTTGCATTTCCATATGATACAAATGAGCAAACCAAAAGTGAAATTAAGAAAATAAGTCCAGGGCCGGGGATTTAGCTCAGTGGTTCCACTGCCTGACTCACAAGCGCAAGCACCCGAGTTCGATCCCCGGCACCAAAAAAAAGAGAAAGAAAAAAAAAAAAAGAAAGAAAACAAGTCCAGCCAGGCATAGTGGCACATCCCTATAATCCCAGCTACTCGGGGAGCTGAGGCAGGAGGATTGAAAACTTGAGGCCAACTAGACAACTCAGTGAGCCTGTCTCAAGACTTAAGAGAAAAAAAAAAAAAAAAAAAAAAGCTGGGGATGTATAGTTAAGCAATAGAGTGCATGCCCAGGCCCTGTGTTCAATTCTCAGTACTGCAAAAAAGAAAATGTCCAAATATTTAGAAGTAAATTTTATTTTAAAAGTACAGTTTATATTCTTAAAATGGGAATACCCTCCAAATTAATCTATAGATTCTACACAGAAATTGATTTCTTTGCAGAAATTAACATGCTGATCTCAAAAAAAAACAAAAAACCCCCCCCAAAAAACAGGCTGATCTCAAAATTTTTTGGAAATTCAAGACATTTAGAATATTTATGTAGAAATACATTGTTTATTTAAATTTGTTTATTATTTATTTGAATTTATTTGGAAATTCAAGTCACCAAGATCATTTATAAAAGAAGAAAATGGGGGCTGGGGATTTAGCTCAGTGGTTCTGCCACTTGCCCCACAAGCGCAAGGACGAGTTCGATCCCTGGTACCAAAAAAAAAAAGAAGAAAATGGGAGGACTCATATTTTCTAGTTTCAAAACTTGCTACAAACCTACAGTAACAAAACAGTGTGATATTTGCATAAAGATAGACATATAGATGGATGGAAGAGAACTGAAACTCTAGAAATAAATCTTCATATTTATGGTCAATTGATTTTCAACATGGATTGGGGAGACAAATAGTTTTTTCAACAAATGATTCTGGAACAAGTAGATGTGCAAATGCAAAAGAATGAAACTGGATTCCTTCCTTACGATAAACACAAAAATTAATCTCAAATGAATCATATACCAAATGAAATAACTAAAACTGAGGTAGGACAGAAAAAATAAAAATAGTTAAAAAGGAGACAAGGAAACATTTTTCCCTCTTTGCAGTACCAGAGATTGAACACAGGGCCTTCATACTGAGCTACAGCCCCAGCCCTTTCTTTTTAAATTTTGAGACAGGGTCTTGATAAGTCACTAAATTGCCCAGGCTAGGCCCTTGGCCCCCTACAGTGCTAGGATTATAAGAATGCACCACCATGCCCAGCTGGAAACTCAATTTTTGTCTTCTTACTACCTTAAAACTCTGGGTCAGATCAGTGCTTAGCTTTGCACAAAAGAACGTCAATCATTTAGGAATAGTTGACAAAACAAGTTTTCTCAACCCTAAATTTACCTAATCTATCTTATCCCCCTTTAAGACTGGGGGCACCAAGATAAAAGTTACTAATTTTTAGAGACACCCAATTGCCAGCTTATGAAACGTCCAATTCCAGACCTTCCTGGAGCAATGCCTAGAAGTCTACAGCCATTGTCCTCAACCTGTAGTCACCTGAGTTCCAGGAAAAGTGGAGCCTCACAGACCACCCCATGATGAGATTACCCTCCTAAGCAAAGGCAATCATCTCAAAGGACCAAATCACCACTCAAGCCATGAAAATTCCTCTGGAGCTATGGAAACTAGAACTGAGATAATGATTAACCAGAACCCAGCCCACCCCTGCTAATCCTTTTTTTTTTTTTTTTTTTTGCTACCGAAGATTGAACTTGGGTCTTTGCGCTTGCGCAGCAGGCAGTGAAACCACTGAGCTAAATCTCCGGCCCCCTGCTAATCCTTAAAAGCGGTCTTGTGCTTTTGTGTGAGCCAGTCTGAACTCCTACATCAGAATGTGCCTCCTCCATTTACTCAAGCTGAAGTCTTTTCCTCATGTCCCTTACTTTCTAACTCTGCCAGTAAACCCCTCTATGCCTCACATTGATGGGTCCTGAAATTTTCTTTCTGTGATGGAAGTCAACAAGCCTACTATTACCCCATGGGGTGGTGGGGAAGGGTGAGGTCCCCATTTTCCCTTTGGGAAACCTCCTTGAACCCCATCTGGTGACAAAACTACAAAATTCTTAGTAGAAAATATAATGTGAAATTTTTGGGATCATGGATTAGGCAAGAGCTTTTTAGGTATGACACCAAAAAGCACAACAAACGAAGAAAAAATACAGTAGACCCTTGAGTTACAACTGGCCAGACATACAAACAACTTAGGTTACGACTAGAATTTTAGTTTTAACTTGCAAACTAAGTCTTGAGTTACAATCCGAATGCCGACTGCTTGTGCTTCCAGATGGTCTCAGATACAGATTTAACCCTTAAAGAGTTCTGGAAAGAACACTGCAACATCCTTTCCTGTGTGGGGTTAATTGAGAAATCCTGAGCCAATGTCTCTCTAAGGACACTGAGATCTGCCTGTGTACAGGAGAGAGACTTTCTAGAGGAGGGTGAGCCTTCAATTGACCAACTTGAGTTACAACCAATCCTCAAAAATGAATTGAGTTAATAAGTCAAGACATCACCAAAATTAGTGATTCAAAGGACACTAACTAAAAAGCCAACTTACAGTATGGAAGAAAATATTTGCAAATTACATATCTGATAAAGGACTTGTGTTTAGAATATGCAAAAAGTATCTTTTAAAACTCAATAATAAAGACAAACACCTTATTTAAAAATAGGTAAAGTATCTGGACAAACTTCCAAACAAAATGCTACACATGGCCAAAATGCACCTGAGAACATGCTCAACACCATTCGCCATCAGGAAAATGTAAATCAAAACCAGTGAGCTGCTACTTCACACTCACTGGAATGACTAGAATCTGAAACACAGACAAGAAGTGTTGGTGAGGATGTAGAGAAGCCAGAACTCACATACACTGTGCTGGGAATGTAAAATAGAAAAGTCTGGCAATTTCTCAGAAAGTTAAACCTAGAGTAACTATGTGATCTAGCAATTCTACTCCTGGATATGTAACCAAGAGAAATGAAAAGATGACTACACAAAAACTTATACATACATGTAAATTCACAGCAGCATTATTCATAATAGTCAAAAGGTAGTAATAACTCATATGTCCATCAACTAATGAACTGGTAAATAAAATGTGGTATATAATATAAAACATGTAAATAATTGTAGTGAATTATTATAGGGATTTGGGAGGTGATGGCTAAGGGACATAGAATTTCTTTCTGAAAATGCTCTAAAATTAAGATAGTGGTAATGTTGCATAATATGTAAGTATATTAAAAGCCGATGCACTATAAACTTTAAATGAGTGAATTATACCTCAATAAAGCCATGTTTTAAAAAAAAAGTGTACCATGAAGAACTCAGAAATCCCACAAAGCAGGCCCCCAAAATCAACAGAAGTAGCAGCTCTGTGAAGTTAGAAAAGCTATCTGAATCATGCCTCTTCCTAAAAAGTCAGGGGAACAAAATTCACAAATAACAGGGAACAGAGACTAAAGTCCTTTGAAGTCCTCTCAAAGTCACTGTTAGAAAAAAGCACAAGAGGCACAGTAAAATCCCCTTCAACCATAAAAATAAATCTAGGCCAGGTCTGATAGCGCACACCTATAATCCCAGCACTTGGGAGGCTGAGGCAGGAAGATCACTGAAAATCAAGTCCCACCTGGGGTACATAGTGAGTTCAAGTCTGGCCTGAGCTACATAGCACAACCCTGTCTCAAAAACAAACAAACAAACAAACAAAATAAATAAATAAATTTTTAAAAGTTGGCTAGAAAGATATCCAACATGCCCCCCAAAAGATCAAAACTGACATGTTCTATTTCATGGTACACTACAAGCACAGGGAAAAAAACCAAGAAAAAACGATGAGGACAACAACAACAACAGAAAATATCCCAGGAAGTGAGAGAAGAAAGGATTAGAAATAAAAGAACTCAGAAGTGAAGAATGAGTTAGAAGGAACAAGAATACCATCCTCCTTGTCTCAAATCTTACAGTTTTCCACACAATCCAGACACAGCTCTGAGAAGGGCAGGAACACTCTACAGGGGACATGGGTGGGGGCCTGCACACAAGGACTAAGAGATACAGAAAATGAAAAAAAGAAAACTTTTCAAAATTAAAAAGGAAAAAAAGAAATGAAAAGGACTCAGGAGAGTGACAAATGCTGTACTGGAGGCAGGCAGGCAGTGTGTTGGATTCTGACTCACACTTGCAGTTTCTGCGGGATCATCACTGAGTGTCTCACCTAGGGAGCTCCCTGCAACCAGCCTCCCTTTGCAGTGTGAAACTGAGGACTGGAGGCAGCCCCAAGGTGACAGCAGCCCCTGGCCACACCCACTACCTGGAGAGACTGTCCAGAGCCTGTATGAAGGGATCCGTCCCGGAGCCATCCTTCTCAGGGCTTTCCATTAGAGACATGGTGGCAAGGACCACATCACTAGCCAGAAACTTATGCTTAAAACCAAAATGGATGCTGAAAGTCTGTACTCGCATGTCCTTCATCCTGTCATGAGAGGAAGCAATGGGGCTGTCACAATCAAGTCATGAGCCTGCTCTCTTGGCCAGGACAGGCCAGCAGATGCCATAAGGTCCTTCACAGGTCCCCAACAATATTCATTATGACCCTCTGCTCAGAGGAAGAGGTGGGTCAGAACACCCAGTCATAAGCAGCCTTTAGGCCCATGGTCTGGGCAGGCTCCTCTTCCTTGCCCCAGCACATCGGCTGGCAGGGCAAGAGTGGCCAAGCACAGGGGCTTCAGTGGTGCCCAAAGAGCTGGTCAGACATTGGTCACCTAAAACTGGCCCTAGTGGCTCTTTTCATGTCTCCAATGAGAAAGGAGAAGGGTTGATCTCACAGGTCTGCACCATAGTCCAGGATTTAAGGATCCTATGATTTATGGGCATTTTAAGAAAGTCTATTTATTTTTTATTTTTTGGTACCAGGGACTGAAATCAGGACTTTGCGCTTGGGAGGCAGGTACAGCACCACTGAGCTAAATCCCTGGCCCAAGAAAGTTTATTTTTTAAACCAAAGAGAAGATGAACATTCAGGAATGACCAAATTCAGGTCATGCTCATTTGTACATTCTTGGGGTTATTAATTTATTTTCACATTATTTTATTAGTTAAAGCAGAAGCCCTAATTTTAAAACAGCTTAACCCAGGGCCAGGGATTTAGCTCAGTTGTTCTGGCGCCTGTCTCGCAAGCACAAGGTCCCGAGTTCAATCCACATTACCAAAAAACAAAACAAAACAAACAAAAAAAACCAAACAACTTAATCCAGAGAAAAATGTGTTTACCCAAATTTATTTGCCGACTCTTCAATCATTTCCCGCAAATTCTCCTTCAAAGAGATGTCCATAGACTGAAACTTCTGCTTTACTTGTTTCAGGGGAAGCCTAAAAAGAGTAAGTGCAAGTCACATGAATGAGGTCGTAGAGATAGTGAACAGAATAGAAAGAAGGCTGCAAGCAGCATCACCGTGTGGCCACAGAGAGCTGTCCTAGCACAGCGATGGCAAACCTTTTAGAGACGCATACCCCGACTTAAAAACCACTTATTACAAAGTGCCAACAATGTGATTAAACCTGAATGGTGAGGTTTTAGTTTAGAAAAACAACTCATACATTAACATCTTTTGTCTGAAAAGAAAAACAAATAAGACGTGTGCCACAGGTTCGCCACCACTGTGGACCTAGCACATTTACTCAGATGACATTCTGGGGTTGGGAGGGGAGGAAGTGATGAAGGAATGGGTAGCAGCTGCATTTAACAACTCTGTGAGTTACAACAAAGCAGAGGGGCATCTCCATAGAAGGCTGGGAAGGTGGAGTTCTGCAGGCCAAGGCAGTCACTCACCCCATGTCTGCAAGAAACTCCTGAAGCCGCTTCTGCCCATGTACAGACCAGAGCTTGAATCTGGCTGAGGTGTAGCTGGTATTGCACAGACTGTCATAGAGGGACCAGTGGTGGTAGAGAGCCAGGCAGAGGCTGGACCCAAGGTCAAGGAACAAATGTGGTGTCCGATGCCCACCTGGAGCTCCACAGTGACCCACAACCTTGGCAGTGCACAGCCTCACCCACAGTTCTCAGCAGATGGCCTGTTGTATTCTTAGAGCCTGCCTCGAGGGGTTTGGTTGTACAACCAGGTTGAACAAAAGCAATTTGGAACAATTTGGCCCATGCAGACAGCCTGTGAGGTGGTGGATACACACCATTTTCCCTTTGATAGAGAAACTGAGGTCCAGGGGGTTTGCAAAACCCTCTACTGTGGCCAGAGAGCAGTCACAGCCACACAGAAGGTGGAAGGCTGGGAATTCCCAGCTCAAGCTGCCATACTGTCCTGCTCCTGCCAACCCCACCTAGCCCAGCCCAGCTACCACCTATCCTTTCCAAGAGCCCTCCAATAGGACACCATCCACAAAGCCCTCCCACTCTCAGCCCTCTCACTGAACTTGCCCTTCACCACCCATGGTCCTTTGACTGAGGCTGTGAGCACTGACAGGCCCCACAATAGGCCTCTGCTCCACAGTATTCAGGCTGACCCTGCCTATTTCCCACAGTTATCCTGGCACCTTGCCACTGCTCCTCTGGTGTCTCCTGTCCTCACTGCTGTCCCCCCACACCAACTATGTCCCTCACAGGCTGTTATCTTCCCTGCCTCAACTCAGCAGTTTTCCACCCAACCCAGGCATAGCTCTTAGAAGGGCAGGCATACTCTACAGAGGAATATGGGTGGGAGCCTTTACATAAGGACTAAGCAAAGAGCACCTGCTGAGCAAAACACTGCTTATGCCTGAAGGGCCTGAAGTACAAGGATACTCATACTCAAAGGAGATCCGCGTGCAGTCCACAGAAAGGGTATTCTCCTCATCTTCATTCCGGTGGTTGTGCCGGGACACATGGCGCTGAAGGATGCCAACATCAGTCACATACTTCATTCTGGAAACAAAGTACCACAGGCTGGGCAGCACCCTCCTGCTCTCTGGGGCTATCCACCATGCAGGCTGCTCCTGCAGAAGACTGAGCAAGTCTAGTGACCCCTTGCATAGAAACTAAGCAGCTGGGGGATGTGAGTGGCCCCAGTTGGGCAGGGTAAGCTCTGGCCTCATCACCTTCCCTGATGAACAGGTACTGTGGAGGCACAGCCAGGCCTATCAGCCTATGTAGTCAAGTAGACAGACCCTGTAAAAGATAGGAATTCCCACAGAAGAAAGTGCAGACCCACATAGGATAGTACCAAGCACAGGAATGGGTAGCACTCTAGATCCCAAAGGGCCACCAATCAAGATGGTGACAACAGGGCCTCAGCTGAGGTCACAGGCCAGGGATGGTACCTGGTATTGCATGCACTGCTGTTTCTAGACCTCGTGTTATCCACACATGTGCCCCAAGCTACCCTTAATAGAGAAGGGCCTGAGGTACAGCAAGGCAGTAGGCTGGGGTAACATGGTAGTCCAGAGAGTGACCCCAGGTCTGAGACTCAGGAATCTCAAGCTCTTGGGCCACTGAGAAAGAGGAAGGCAGGGACAGGGTAGGGGGGGCAGGATGGGGGGGCACAAAGATCTGTACAAACTGCATGACGAGTCTAGTGACCAACTAGAAGCTACGAGAGGTGACAGCTATGGGTTTCCTGGAACAGGGTTAGTTTCTCAGGGTTGATGTCCCTGTCAATTCTCTTAGATGTATCATTTCATGGCCAGAGAAGGTTGAGTGGCCTTGTGAAGGAGAAGGGATAGGAGATGCCACATGGTGCTGTTTAAGGTCCCCCCCCACCCCCCGTAGTATCTACATTGGGGCAACCTTTCAGCTCATGGTCGGAGACTAAAAGAAGGGAACCCTGTCACACCCACTGACAGGCAAAAAAGAGATACTTTCACACCAGTCTCCTCCCCTTTGCCTTTGTGATCAAATCTACACTCCCAGGCAAGACACTTAGGCCTCCCGCTTCCACTCCCACAGCCCCTTCCTCCCTCTCCTTACCTTTTTCTATGTCTCCCCTTTAATCCCCACCATCCATGGGCCACACTCCAACACCTGCCTCCAAGCCTTGCAAAAGAATAAGGGAGGTTGTGCTCCCTCTTCCCAGTGATGGCTCCACCTAGTGGACTCGGCGGGGTGATGAAGAGGCCAAAGCAGGCCACAGCCACTGGCAAAGGTTTGGATTTCTAGGCCCTTCCTTGATAACAAAGGTACAACACAAGGAGGAGGGCCAGCCCCTGTGCCTTCTCCATGGGGCCTACAGTGATACTATTTCCCATCTCCCCTCTGCAAATCCAGGGGCTATCACTTGGTCACTGTCCAGGGCTGACCCCAGAAAGCAAAGGCACATGTCCTTACTGGGTGATCCTGTCTTGCACCCACTGGTCCGTCAGTCCAACGATGGCCCACCTGGAAGCAAAAAAGGCAATGAAGCCAGCTGCAGCCACCTAGGCTTAAAGGGGCCTGGGGTATGGAGCCAGGAGACAGATGGGCAGTGCAGGCTCAACATTCCCAGCAGCACCTTGCCAGTGTGGCTCCTGGCTTATGGTGGCCTCCCTACCCAGGATATGTAAGTAATGATCACTGAACTTATTTTCTATTGTGGCGACATATTACATTTGTATGTTCCATATAAAGAACCAGGGGTTATCCCAGGCCAGGTTTTCCCCAGGATATCAGAGAATACACAAAGTTGGGCTCCCAGCACAAAAGCGAGTCAGGCAGGCATAAGCTGTATATGGATCAGACAAGCGCCACTAAGGCATCTGCCAGTGTAAACAAGTTTTCTGTGTAAGGGGCCCCTCATCACAAATCAGACATGTGGGAATTAGGCCATCTGCCAGGTAAAAGAGGTTATTCATGAAAAGTACACTGTAAATATCTAGCTCCACTCCATTTTCTGTTAGGGCCAGATTGCTAGTGACTCTGGTACAGGGACCCAAAATTAGCTGGGGGAGAAGTCAAAACAACATGGCAGTGAGGTGCTATGTCTTGGCTATAGGGCTTCTACCTGACCTGCAGGGGTGTTGTAACAAGACTCTGATCCCAGTCCCCAGGTTTACGATTTCCACACCACAGAGGAGGGCCTGAGATCTTGCTGAGAACAGTTGGTAGATATATGGCAGGGTGGGTCACTGTACAGGGATGAGAACTGAGGATTGGCACAGGCCAAAGGATCAGATTCCTTGCAACAAAGCAGACAGAGAACTCCAGGCCTATTGTGAACACCCTGGCTATCCTGAGGCCCTGATTCCATGAGAATCAGCACCATTACAATCAACACTGTGGGTGGTCAGAGCCAGGAGCAGCCACAATAGAATGTCATTTTGCAGAGAAGGAAACCAGGACCCTGAGCAAAGACCAGAGTGGTAGAGCGAGGCCAGACCCATGTTCTCATCACTCAAAGACGGTGAACTTTTGTTTCTAGACCAAACCAAGTTGACAACTACCAGCTAGGCCTGGTCTGTGTGCCAAAGCCCTGCCTGCAGCCTGCCCAGAGAAATCAGAGGCAGGGACGGTTTTCTTTCTCTCTCTGTCTCTGTCTCTCCCTCCTTCCCACTTTTCCTCTCCCCCTTTCTTTGTTTGCAGTATGAATTAAACTCAGGGTCTTGCACATGCTAAGCAAATGCTCTACCACTGAGCTACATCCCTAGACTTTTTAAAATTTTTATATTGACACAGGGTCTCATTAAGTTGCCCAGACTGGGGCTGAATTTGTAATCCTCCTGCTTTAGCCTTCCAAATAGCTGAGACTTCAGGAGTGTGCCACCTCGCCCAGCTTACAAGGATGGTTTTCTTATCAGATTTTACCACATGCCAGGGTTGCAAAAAAGCCTAGCAATGACTGTCTCGTTCAAATCTTATGCTCCTTTGGTTGCTTGATTTACCAAGCACAAGGCTAAGTGGCAGGGGTGGGAAAGATGGAAGTGCACCCAAGCCCTACTCTACATGCTCCCTGAGTTGTGTGACGCACCAAGAACCTCACAGGAAGAAGACCAAGGTCAGGCACCATCCCAGACAGGGGCTGCATCTGATATTCCCCATGGATACAAGAGAGGACCATATGGCACTGACTGGGTCTAGTAATAGGACTCCCAACACTGACACTGTGTGGGGACTACATACCACAGCATGTCGTTCAGGTCCTTGGACAGCATCCATGCCAGGTCAAACATCACCATGGCTGACTGCAAGAAAGCAGAGAAGCCTGAGGGCCAAGGCAACTGCACTTGTGGGAGGGGCAATGGAGCTGAGCTAGACAAATGCCCCTAAGCCGAGGCCCTGTAGATCAAGGCAGTGGATTCTAGCCAGACATGAGGAACCAACCCACACTAAACCAAGAGGAAGAAGACTGAGAATAATTCAGCTGCCCTGCATGTTCTCTACCATCTCAAGTCATTATTACCTATGTACTTCATCATATGAGAAGGGAAGAATGGGAAGAAACTGCACCCAGGGGGCAGCCAAAGCAGGGCACAGGGACCTCAATATATCTCACAGGGTCTCTTAGTGATGCCTAAGGCAGGACCTGACACCTGATGGTCAAGAGACCCCACTGTCAGCCTCAAAAACATTCCCAGGGTGAGGTGAGAGAGGGCCCTGGTAACAATTACTTGGATATTAAAGAGAGAGAGGAGCTGGGGATGTAGCTCAGTGGTAGAAGGCTTGCCTAGCTGCACAAGGCCCTGGGTCTGATCCCAAGTACCCCCAAATAAAATTTCCAAGAAACAAAAAGAGAGAGAAACCTCCACATATTAAACAGGCATAGGGGTGCATGTCTGTAATCTCAGCACGCGGTAGGCTGAGTCAGGAGTGTGAGTTTGAGGCCAGCATGGGCTACATAGGGATTTCAAGTTCAGCCTGGACTACAAAGTGAATCCCTGTCTTAAAAACACCCCACCAAAAGTGGGAGGGGCCTCAGGATCCTTGTGAAGATAGTCTTCCCAAGAGGGATGTCTACCAACGGATGTATTTAGCAATCTGTGATCAGAGGGATGGGTTTGCTAGATTGTGAGGGGAAATTGGAGCCTGATCAGAAGATTCTGAAGTCCTCTGAGCCATGAGATGCTGAGCTTCCTCCAGAAGACAATTTCTAAGGGAAGCGTCCACATATGTATCTGGAGAGAGGGCATCTCATTTGAGCAAATGTCAACACCCTCGCTATCCACTGCTTAGAATTTTGTTTGAAAGGATGACCAGAGAAGGCCAATGGAAGGTCCTTCAAAAGACAATGGAGACATGGAAATATAGTGCTCAGAGTTCAAGGTCCAAGGATCATATTCTAATATAGGATGTGTTATTGGAAATTTATTTTCTAGCTATTTAAGGCCCTGAGCTCTGTTCAACATTAACAGAGTCAACACAGTAGGTTTTCTATACTAAATTCTATTCCATAAAACACACACACACTGATGTGCCAGTGTAAGTCTAGAGTTTAATCTTCTTGCACAGAAATTAATACAGATTTGTTCTAAATCACTGATGGACAAAAAATAATAGCTGCTGTTCTGAGCACACAGTAATGCATGGGACCATCCTAAAAATTGCTTTTGAAATGATGATTACAGATGTTCCTCAATTTATGAAGGAGTTACATCCTGATAAACCCATCAGAAATTATAAGTATCACCAAGATGCATTATATAAAGGTACAATGAGAAATGTAATTGTGTTGTATACCTACAATGTACCAATAAAAGAATTTAATACAAAAAAAAAAAGCAATTGTAAGTATCATAAGGTGAAAAATGATTGAATACACCTAATCTACCCAACACCCTAGCTGAGCAGCACAGCACACTGTACAGAATTGGCTGTTTCTCATCATGAGCTCCTGGCTGACTAGGAGCTTCAGCTTGCTGTCACTATCCAGCATTGCCAGAGCCTGTCACTAGCCCAGGAAAATATCAAAATTCAAACTTTTATTTTATTTTATGGAATAAAGTATTGCCCTATTCTAGAATTAAAAACAAAAATAAAGCCAGTATGATCTTTAAAAAAAAAAATTAGCCAGGCACAGTAGTGGCATGCACCACTAGTCCCACCTACTCCGCAGGCTGAAGCAGTATTGTTGGAGCCAAGGTATTCAAGGTCAGCCTAGGGAACATTGTGAGACTCCATTTCAAATGTTAAAAAAAGTACAAGGTACAATTTCTGCTGAACATGCATTGCTTTCATATCATCAAAAGCTGAAAAATCACAAGATACAAGGCCTTTATAAGTTTGGAAACAATCTATATTCTCTTAGAGTGTAAAGCTAAGAGAGAAGGTACAACTTTCCCCAGATCACACCATAGGAAGATGTGGAACTCCAATCCAAACCAGTTTTTTGTGGCTTTAAAATCTTTTAGCCCCTTCCTCACGTTTTAGGACGCTGATTGTTAGAGTCAGAAGTTTATGGTGAGTTACACCTATTCATACTTACAGATGTTCCATGATATTCGTACTGCTCATAGTCAAAGAGGATATCTCGTCTGTAATGATATAAAATGAGAGTCTTTAATAGGAAACAGCAGAATAGGAAACCAAATGTTTGGAAAATGCTAAAATTTCAGTCTTCAAGCCACAAGTGGTGGCTCATGCCTATAAAGCTGGCACTTGGGACGCTGAGGCAGGAGAATTGCTGTGAGTTTGAGGCCAATCTGGGCTTCGTAGTGAGTTCAAGACCAGCCTGAACTACATAGCGAGACACTGCACAGCCTTCAAAGAAATGCAAAATAAATCATGCTACCACTGTTTTCTCTTATTGACTCTTTTTTTTTTTTGTACCAGAGATTGAACTCAGGACCTTGCGCTCCAGAGGCAGGCAGCAGCACCACTGAGCTAAATCTCTGGACCCCTTATTGACTCTTTAGTAGAATATATATGTACACACTGGGAAGGCAGTAAAATCCACACAAATTGTTTATGACAATGTACAAAGTAAAAACACATGGTCCCAGAATTCCAATTTTGAAAAAATTCCAATTCTGAGAAATTATCCCAAAATAATTCAACGCAACAAGACAAAATACTCTGGGTGAACGAAGTTATACATTTCAACCTTATTTGTAATGGTAAAATATTGGAAGTAACCTACAGTTCAAAAAGGAGTGAACACTCTGATATTTGTGTGTGTGTGGTGCTTGGGATTGAACCCAGAGGCTTGGACTTGACCAGTGCATACTGTACATATGTGTGGAAATATCACACTGAACCCCATTAATATGTATAATTAACATGTGCTAATAAGAGAATAAAGGATTAAAGGAAGACAGGATATTGCCAACTAAGTACTAAGCGGTTTATGTAGGCTGTTCAGATTGATAATGGTTACATTATATAGAAAAATGCAAAAGTAGATGGATATTTCATGTAAAATAAGCATAAGTACGGATAACTCAGTAAGAGAAACCCAAACCCAGAATCTCTTTGATTTAGGTGGTAAGATATGGATATTCTCACTTATCTTTCTTTGTACTTCCAAAAATGGTACTGGAATTGGTACCGGTGACCAAACTCAGGATCTTGTGCTTTCTGGGCAGGTGACAGAACCACTGAGCTAAATCCTCAGCCCTAGAATATCTTTTTATAGGAGGGGGCAGCCTTCTCCCATGGCCAGCAGGAGCACAAGCCCTCAGCTAGAACAGCAGAAATCACAGCTGCATGGCCCAGCAAGACCTTTAAGGAAAGAGCCAGCAAGAAATTCCCTAGGGTGCCCAGCCTCAAAGCACTGCTGCATGTTTACCTCAAGCTGGAATGACCATTCCAATATTTCCATTTTAAAGTACTATGCTTTTTCTTACATCTGCAATAGGAAGAGGTATTATGGATAACTTAGTTTCTGTTCATATATGAATAAACATTTTTATAATAAAAGTATTTACAGTGAAAAATCTGATAAAAATAAAGAGCCAAGGGCCATCACCCCTAACAGATGGAATGGATTTGGGCCTGTTCTGTCCCTCTTGGGACCAGAAGGCAATACAGACAGTGACCCAAGCTTGTCTCCAATGAGGTAGCTACATGGTCACTCCTGGAGTGGCTGGCCCTGAGGTTCTAAACTAAAGGCATTATCCTAAAATGAAAAAACAAAGCACATGCAGCATCCTGGAAAAATAAAAGGTATTAGTTGTACCATAGTGGTACCACAGAGCCCAGGGAGAGCAGGCACTGGGGAGATTCTGCATGCCAGACTCACCTCCGGGCCTCCCACTCTCTCCGCTCCCTCCTCTTCCTGGTTTGCTCCACTATTTCCTGAAATAGGAATAAAGAGAACAAAGGGTTGAGTGAAAGTACCAGCAGCCTGAGGTTTATCCCCACAGCCTGAGGTTTCAGTTTGGTAGAAGCTGCTGGGCTCAGACCTCTGTAGAAGAGGGGTCATTTCTACGCTCAAGGCACAACTTGTTCCTAGAGGAGGGAGGAGCTGAGACAGAGGAAGGCCGAGGCCCCTTCTGGCTCCTCTCACCACAGACACCATGGACAGAGGAGCCAGGGCTTCCTGAGGGCCTGCTCCATATTGTACTCTGTATTAGCTCACTCCAGCTATCCACCACCACAGCACAATAGGATCCAAAACAAGTTCACACTACCTTGTACCTGAGTCCCCATCAGGATTTACAAGAGCTAGTGTTTCTTACATTCTCCCATGTGCCAGCAATGATTCTAATTTTACGTGGACAATATCATTTAATTCTCACCACAAAGGGATGGACAGTGTAGTGGTTATAAAAATCCATGGGCCTAGCCAGTCGTGTCAGATACTTCTAGATCAGCAAGTGTGGCAGTAATGGCTTCCTACTTGATCCCTCTGACATCCCCAGCAGAGAGACTGGGATGCCTTGTTACAGCTTTACAGGGTGGGCAACTAAGCCCCAGCTTGGCCTTTGCTGGGTTGGATGAGTGTTTTCAGTGATGTTGGCTGGAGTAGAGCGGTTATTATATAAGTTTTTTGTCTTTCAGGGCTGGTCCTTCCAGATCTTTTGGCTAGAAAGGGTAGCTTTTGTTGGATATATAATATATACATTAATATATTTTGTGTGTGTGTGTGTGTGTGTGTGTGTATATATATATTTTTGTCTGTAGTGGGTGTTTCCAGATTGCTGGCTTCTTCATCTGCAAGTCTAGGCTATATGAGCCAAAAAGAAAACCCTAGACATATACTACTATGTCCTTTCTCAGGCCCCAGGTCCCTGACTGCTCTGCTTTTGCCTCAACCTTTCAGATTCTTAATTTCTTTTACTTAAAATATCCAGGAGTTTCAGGTATACCTAGCAGACATATAGAGAAAAATACTTCTACTCCATAATTCCAGAAGCAGAAGTCTCAGGACCATGGATTTTTATTTTTTGTTTTTGTTTTTGAGACAGGTTCTCACTATGTAGTTCAAGCTGGCCTTGAACTCACTATATAGTCTAGGCTGGCCTCAAACTTGTGGTGATCTTCCTGCCTCAGCCTCCTAACTTTTTTCTTTCATCATGATGTGGTGATAATCATAATATGATTTTATACTTTTGTCAAATCTCATCAAATTACATACCTGGTGAACTAAGTAGACATTATGTCTTACTGGGCATAATCTGTAATCTCAGCTACTTGGGAGGCTGAAGCAGGAGGATGGAAAATTTGAGCAAAACTGTCTCCCAAAAAAAAAAGTTGGATGGGGGATGTAGTTCAGTGGTACAGCACTTACCTAGTATGCACAAGGGACTGAGTTCAATTCCCAGCACCACAAAAAAATTAAAGAATTTTTTAAATTAAAATTTAAAAAAAGAAATTATGCTTCAATAAAGCTGATTAACAAAACTCCTGTGTCCTGAGATTTCTTTGATTTTCCCACAGTACATGGTGGAGTCCCATCCACTGTTTATGTGTAGACAAATCTGTAATCTCAGCCCTTGGGAGGCTAAGGCAGGAGCATTGAGAGTTTGAGGCTATCATGAACTATGTAACAAGACCCTGTCTCAAAAAAAACAAAACAGATTTGCTACCAAGCCATAAAGCTGAGCTGTCCTATTTCATTACATGTTACAGGATCTTACAGGTAAGGAAGCTACAACTTGGAGAAGTCCAGTCACCTGTCACAAAACCAGGAGATAGCAGAGCCCAGGATCAGTACCCACAACTGCTAACTCTTCCATTTTCCACCTGCCCCCCTCCCCCACCATTACTCCTGGTCCCAGCAGGCTCTGGGGATGACCTCTGAGAACGCAGGTTACCCCAGGATGCCACGAGAGGCCCAAACATACCTCTTCTAACCGTGTGCGCTTCTCAGAAGGCTCTGACCCATCACTGTCATTTCCCAAATGCTCTTCATCCTCCTCTTCATCCTTAAAAAGGTCTTCATAGGCAGGAACTTCAAGGTCATCATCTTGTTTAATGAGTAATTTGATCTAAGTTTAAAACAGAAAAGCAATCAAGTCTCTTGTCTCTCCCTGAAAAACAGTTCATCAGGTGTTTTTCTCCTGTAGAACCTTATCGTTTCTAATTGGCTGACTCAAGTTTTCTGTACAGACACATAGCCACCTGTCTGAGAAGAGTTCAGACTTCTTAGGTGACTCTTTGTTTTCATTACCATTTAGTGAGGCTCTGGAGTTGCAACACATGGTATGCAGAAATTATGAAAACTTGAAAATAATTTTTTAAAAACCACCTACATCTACTTAAGTCTGGAAAAACAGCTCCCTGTTATGCCACATGTAACAAAATGAATGTCCCACAACTTGAACTGTTATGGAGGACGTAAAGATGTTGCTATGGTTTAGATGTGGTTTGCCCCCACAAAGTAACATATCCTGGAAGCTTGGTGTGATGGTGTTGAGGTGGTAGAACCATTAAGAGGCAGGCTGCTTCCTGGAAGGTGATTAGGTTTTGGCCACTCCACCCTCAGAAATGGATTAATGTCTCTCAGGAATGGGTCAGGTCTTCTAGCAGTGGTTCCTCCCTGCAAACATGGGTTGTTTCAAAGTTTCAACTTACTCTCTTGCTCCCTATCTCAATATGTGATATCTCTCTCTCCCTCACTCCCTCTCTTTCTTTCTCATGTGATACCACCCACCATGAGGCCCTCTTTACAGCCAAGCCAAGGAGATGCAGGCACCATGCTCTTAAATTTATAGAATTGTAAACTAAATAAATCTGAGGTTTTTGTTTGTTTTGTTGACACGGGGCTTCTCTATATAGTCCATTCTGGCTTTGAACTCACTATGTAGCTCAGGTTGGCCTCAAACTCACAATCCTCCTGCCTCAACTTCGCAAGAGATAGGATTAAGGCATGTGTCACCACACCCAATTAACCTCTTTTTGGTACCGGGGATCGAACTCGGGTCCTTGCACTTGCGAGGCAGGCGACGGAACCACTGGGCTAAAACCCCCGCCCAACCTCTTTTCTTTATAACGCGCCCAGTCTCAGGTATTTGCTTGCTTATAGCACTATAAAATGGACTGAGACAGATACTGACTCCTAAGTGAATACAACTCCTATCTCTAAAACCAATTCCAGGCTGACTTCTTTTGGACAGAGTCCTCCTATGAGAATGTCAGGGTCTCACACCTTGGTGGGTAGAAAAGTTCAAGTCAAAGAGAGTTCAGCTGGCTTGCTCAGTGCTAGGTTGTATTCTTGATGTCCAGGGTTTCAAAGAATAAGCACAGTAGTCATTTTAGACCATAAAGTTCTGGTCCCTATACTTTTCAGATCAAGCAAATGCCATAACTGCATTCAGTATAAACCCAAGGGCTAGGTCCCATATCTATCATCAGAGATAGACAAGATCAGGTTCTTATAGTCAGGCTACCCACAATTCCACGGGGGCACTGCACACATGCTTCACCATGCCAGATGGAACAATATACACAGCATAAAAAGGCACAGACAGGTTGAGGGGATAGCACACCCCAGAGGTCCAGGTACCTGGGTGTCATTGTAAACATTCACAACATTGATTGGCCTGTGGGTATCACACACAAAGAATATAGTATCTTCATCAGGTTGAAGGATATCCAGTAGATCAACATTAGCTCCACAGTTTATAAGAATAAAATAACGGAACTGAAAAAAGAAGGGAAACATTGTAAAATAACTGCACGGAGGAGGCCCCTTTCCCTTTACCACACTAAGCCTGAGTCTCTGCTGAGACACAGTTAAGCCCCTGACATGTAGCAGCAAGGCCCAGATGGACTAGCATGAGCCTCAATAAATAGCCATGGCTGGCTTGTGCTGTGTTTGTTTTTTTTTTTTTTTGGTACCAGGGATCGAACTCAGAACATTGCACTTGCAAGGCAGGAGGCAGAACCACTGAGCTAAATCCCCGGCAGTGCTAAGTGTTTTAACATACTCTATAGTGCCAAGGATTTAGCTCAGTGGCACCGTGCCTGCCTCACAACCGCGAGGTCCCAAGTTTGATCCCTGGTACCAAAAAAACAAAATAAAACAAAAACACATACTCTATAGGTATCTTTTTTCCAAGGCGATACTGTGAAGTAGGCTCTCTTGCTTTTCCCACTTTCTGAAGAGCATGCTAAAGCTCAACAACCCCAAGTGTTGTACACAGGGTCAAGAAGCTTATAAGGGGCAGACCTCAACTTCAAACATGTAATAGGGTCTCCTCAGTTCCTGGTGTATCTGGACTGTGTGCCTCCCCATGCTAATAGTATAGGTAGTCCATACTTTATGGGCATCTAAATATTAAGTCTTCCTTCACATTCTATCACTATAGAAAAACCTTTCCTTAGAAATACCCAACTAGCACAAATCCCTCAAGTTATGACCAAAACTCCAAGGGAGAATTTATCTCTGCCAAAACAGTTCTAGAAGCGGCCAGGGACTATAGGACCCTCTTCCATGCCCCATTATATCCCATTTCTTACTTGGCCCCATGCATGATGGGAAGAGTCCTGGCCTCTGTTGTTTAAATTCCAAAGAGAGAATATTCATTTCTAAATTTAAAGTTGAAAACTGGGGTTCATTTTTTCTTTTCTTTTCTTTTTTTTTTTTTTTTTGGTACCAGGGATCAAACTCATGACCTTGTGCTTGAGAGGCAGGTGCGGTGCCACTGAGCTAAATCCTTGGCCCAGGATACATTTTCTTAAAGAGCTAAGACCAAATAGTGATGTATTCTAAAATAATTTTCATGAAGTCATATTAAAAATTGCTAAATTCCAAGCATCTTACAATCAAATTTCTGCAAAGAAAGTTCAGAGTTAAATGCTGTCCACATTCAGTATGTTTTTGTCAATTCTGTCTCCTTAATTTGAAGGTAAGTCATCAGTATACATAGCATGTTTTTGTCTTCCATGTTGCCTAATGAAGTTGATACTTAATTATCTGATCAACCTATTGGAAGTAGAAAGAATGCTAAGTATTAAGTAATTTTATTTCAGTAGAAAAACAGCTTAATTATTCTAAAATGCACCTTTCATACCTGTTCTTTATGTTCAAGATATGCAGTTTCAAGTTCTTGCCACCCAGAAACTGGAACCAGTGTGTATTGCACGTGATCACACTGAAAAAGAGCCTGGAAAGAGAGTATTTTCAAGCTTATCTTATTTAGTATGCCCACAATGTGCTTTGAAATACCCACACACAAAAACTAGAGGTGCTGAGGGGGTAAAATGTGACAAGATAAAGTTACTAAATATTAATGAGAGAAGCTGGGTTGTAGGGATTTTCATGCCCAATGTACAGTTCTATCAATTTTGCTGAATTTGTGAAAACTGCCAAAGTTGATCTTTATTTCAAATGTTCTGAAAAGTTCCTGATCCAAGTTCGGTGTAAAACTACCACATTCAAAACCAAACTAATGACCTTCCCTAGTAGACTAGGGACTCTAGCATTTCCAGCACTGATGCTGACGCTAGTTGTCAAACAATTTCTCTCTCTCAAACCTCACGTTTGAAAAAGAAAGTCCAAAGTCCTCCCAAATGAAACCATTTTTTTTCTGTCTGGCTTCTTGTAAAAATACTTAATCTCCTTCCCTTCTCTAACTCCTAACACTGTCCAGCCAGGAGGGTGACCTGAGTCTCCTTCCTCTCACCTACTCCTCACTTCCCATCCTAAGCCAACCTTGCACCACCACCTCTACTCAAGCCCACACTGTTCCCTCACCTCTCGCCCTGGCCTGACCTCCTAGGTCCGCAGAACTCACCTGAAGGATTTTGCAAGCACACAGAGCGTCCACGTCCGAGGCCACAAAGAGAAGGACTCTCTGTTGGGGGGGGGGGGAGAAAGTGGGAGGGCTGAGCGCAGTGACCTAAACCCTGGCTGCTCCCCAATCTCCAGGCCCATCATGACCACTCCCCCTTGTCCCTTCCCCACAGATAAGGCCTCGGCCAGGGTCCTGCACTGAGTTACCTGGCTCTGGACCAGCTCATAGAACTCTTTGCGAAAATCGGACACGAACATAGCCTCGGAGGCCGGACACCCAGCACTTGCACTGAGACACCAAGAACTGGGCAGGGGTCAAGACTCCCGCCAAATCCCAGCTCTTCTGATTGGCCCAGGCTACTAACCAATACCCTCTAAGTTTCCAAACTTTCCTCTTTTCTGATTGGACTACATTGGGGGTGGGCAATAGCGCTCCACCATTCACGGTTGGAAAAGTCTGCCAAATAAGCATTACTGTATCTCCGGGGGTGGACCCAAACAAGGTTGCTTCCTTCAACTCTGACTTTCATTTATCCATAAACCCCCACGCTCGCCGGACATCTTTACTTTGGGAAGAAAAATTTACTGCCTCACACTGGGCACCCTCGGGAAAATATACTCAAATTTTAATATACTCTGATATACTTTAATTTTGATAAATTAAAATTTAGTTACACGTCGATTGAAGGTGCCATTTAAATTTTCAGAAGGCTTTTGGTTCGGTTTGAAGGTGGGTGCGTAGCTTACTTCCGCCCGAGTTCAAGGTGGTGAAACCAAAGGCCGGAAAGCTTTAGAAGCATTCTGGGTAGTGTAGTCTCTAAGTAGAATGGACCCTACCAAGTTCATCTGGAGGGGAATATTTCAAAATATAATTTAAATTAAAACTGTTAGTATACAAGAAAATAAGTTATTAAAGGATATTTTAATGTTTATGTCGAGTAATTTTTAGATCCTAGGTCTTTGACTGGCTTTTTCCCCTTACAGCCGACGGCCTCTGATCCCCCTCTGTGGGTCTCAGGCCGGGCACTTCCGGTGAGGTTCCCGAGGGTCTGAGTTTCAGAAAGGCGGCTGTAGTGGTTGTAAAGAGAGCTCCCCCAGGGTTTGTATCGTAAAATTCGTGAGAGAAGCAGCGTCTGCGAAGCGGTGTCCCTAATGGTAAGCGCGGTTGGGCAGCGGTCGGGAGCTGGGACTGAGGTTAGGGCTCAGACTGGTGCCCAGTGAGGCAGGACGGGACGGCGGCGCAGATGCCGAGTCACCTCGGCCTGAGTCCGGCCAGCCTGCCAGTCCCGGGCGTTTGGAGCCTGAGCCAGATGATGGACCACGAGCCGCGTCTGTTCAGCTCCGCTTGTTTGGAACATGATTTGTATTTCCTCTTAGCTAGGCTTGAGTTCCTTGTATGTAGGTAGGAAGATCGTACGTTCGTGTCTACCCATAGATCTCGAAAGTGCTTGACACTCAACAGGTTTCCATAAACTCAAAGTTAACTAGAAAGTTGGTAGGGATGGGAGTAGGGAGCAGAATCAGGCGCTCCCCACGAAGAATCCGCAGAGGGCATCCCCGTGGGCGTGAAGGACATCCAGCTGTTTACCTCAGTTCTGTCAGCTCTGTGCGCCTGGATTCATGCCTTCGGATATACATAGTTGTGTTATGTTCAGTAGTGATGATCATAACTAGTGTTTTCTGGTTCTTTTGTCGTACCTGTAGCCCCTCAGCACATTTTACCCTCTTTAATCTCAACAGTCCCCCTGGAGGCAAAGATGATTATTGTCGTCTTACACTACAGAAAACTAGTTTTCAGAGTGAGTTTACTCCAGGTTACAAAAGTGAGGAGTGGAGATTTGAAGCCAATATTGTCTGACTGCAGTAAAAGAAAAACATGCGGTCAGAAGTAAGCAGGGAAGGACAGAAGTTGAGGTTCATTGGAAAATGAACTGGAGATGGCTTGTTAAGGGTTTACGTAGTTTGTGTACGTTTTCCTCTTTCATGTTTGGAAGAGAAGAAGTGGCTTAGATGGGGTGGTGTGTAGTGACGGGATTTTTTATGAGGCCCCCACTCCTCTGGCTTCAGTCATTCAGGTGTTTCATGTTGTGCTTCTATATAAGATTGAGTTGGACATTTCTGGCATTTAAAATAAGAGAGACAGAATGATTGAAAATACTGTGCTAGAGTTCTAGGTAGTGAAGAACGATCTTAAGATTTTAAGCAGGCACGTGCTATATGTCCGTTTTAGGGAAATAGCTGATTCAGCTTGCTAATTTTGTAATTACGAGTATAACTACTTATCACTAGGTACTTCCTGCACTATTTTTCCCTTTTCACAGACAATGGCAACCATGATTCCACTTTCTGTATCTATGAATTTAATTACTGTAGATACTCCATATAATTGGAATCATTTGGTATAAGTCCTTTTGTGATTGTTACATTTCATTTAGCGTAATGTCCTCAAGGCTCAGCCGTGTGACAGAATTTGCTTACCTTATAAGGATAAGCAATATTCCATTATGTGTATATAACACATTTTGTTTATTCATATGTTCATGGACATTTAAGTTGCTTCCACCTTTTGCTATTTTAATAATGCTGTTATGAGCAGGACTGTTCCCACTTTCAATTCTTTTGGATATATATACCCTTCTATGAGATTTTTATATTCTCTTCTGAAATGCCATAGTACCTGAAATACTTTGAGAAAACCCCACGTTGATCCGTAACATGTTCCAAGCATGGTCTTAGTGCACACAGGTTAAAAGCCAAGCTCTTACCTTTTTATATATCTTGACTTTGCTTGTTGATGTGAGAAAGCACCATAATGTAGCACAACATTCATACCTTCTGCATGCTGTGAGAGCATGCTAGAGAAGCACTTGCGCAGACCCAGGACAGAGCAAAGGAGGCCTCCTGGAGAAAGGAAAGGATAGTAACTGAAAGCCAAGAGGAGTGCAATCTGGAATGCCTTTTCATATTTCCTTCCTGCTCCCTCTCATGGCATGTGGGTCCCCCTACAGGTAGTCCCTTCCTAACCACCTGTTAAAATATCATTCCCAGGAGCTCTGTATCCCTTTACCCTACTTCTTAAAACTACCTGACGTGTTTTCTTTGGCATATCTCTCTTGTCTTGAACACCACCAGGGCAGAAGTGTGGTATCTGTTGTGTTAGTGAACAAGTGTCACTAGAATGTTGTCCTAGTGTCCAGATCAGAGCCTGGCACATAGTAGGTACTCAATAAACAGAGATAATTCACAATGAATAAATGCTTTTAAATTAATGGTAACAGGAAATGGGTTCCAAGTGGAAGAATTAGTCTAGGTTAGGAGACTATGGAATGGTCAGTAACAAGTCTTTGTGTATAGGAGGTTCGGCCTTGATCCTGAGAATGGAAGCAGCCCTGAGAGATAATAGGGGTAGCTTTGGTGTAGCCAACTTTATATTTTAATAAGATGTGCTGACTAAAGATGGTGGAATTATATCTGATGGATGAGACTGGCTGAGGCACAAAGGATTTGAAGTGTACTACTGCTGAAGATATTAGAACTTTCTGTGTAATCAAGATTTCAGAGGCTGCTTGCAAGTGTAAGGACCCAAGTTCGATCCCTGGTACAAAAAAAAAAAAATGGCCTGGGGATTTAGCTCAGTGGTTCCATTGCCTGCCTCGCAAGTGCAAAGACCCGAGTTCAATCCCTGGTACCAAAAAAAAAAAAACAACAAAGAAACAAAGATTTCAGAGACTGGGGATTTAGCTCAGTGGCACCGCACCTGCCTCACAAGCGATAGGTCCTGAGTTCGATCTGCAGAACCAAAAAGAAAAAAAATACTAGAAGATTTCAGTATATTGTGTTCTTCAACCACATTTAGCAGTGTTAATGACCTGGACATGTTTTGGCTTTTGGCTAGAAGAAATGTAACTTTGTGACAGGCACAGTGCTCTCATCTGTAGTTCCAACTACCTGAAACTAGCCTAGGCAACATAGCAAGACCCTATCACAAAAAATTTTAAAATGGCCAGGGATTTAGTTCAGTGGTTCTGGTGCCCGCCTCACAAGCACAAGATCCGAAGTTCGATCCCTGGTACCAAAAAAAAAAAAAAAATTTAAAAATGTACCTTTGTTCTGTTCTAATGCTAGTATCTCTTTTCTTCTTTTAGTTCTCTTTCAACATGTTTGACCACCCGATTCCTCGGGTCTTCCAGAACCGCTTCTCCACACAATACCGCTGCTTCTCAGTGTCCATGCTAGCAGGGCCTAATGACAGGTCAGATGTGGAGAAAGGAGGGAAGAGTATGTGCTTGTTTTTATTTTGAATAGTAACCTTTCCTGCCCTAAGTCTATGAAGCTTGTAGCCTTCCCCAGCCTGTAGTTTGCATGTGAGCACCAGAAGCTATCCTTATAGTAAAAAAGTCACGTCTCAGACTCACTAAGTGGACGGGGATGGTGGGAGTACAGTGCTAATTATGATTAGATTTATGATGAGGAGACATTCAGTCTCCCAAAATAAATCATATCAAAGATTCGTGACCAGGGATTTAGCTCAGTGGTGCTGACGCCTGCCTCACAAGCTCAAGGTCCTGAGTTCCATCCCTGTTACTAAGAAAAAAAGAAAGATTCGTTAGGAAAAATCATTATGAAATTCTGTCTACCCTAAAAATATTGCTTGAAACTTCTTTTAAATATAAAAGAAACTGCCCCTTACCCTTGGTCTGTCCTTTTTGTTTTTATTTTCTTAATATTTCTCAAATATTTTTTCCACAGTAATTATGCCGCCTTCAGCCCTCGATCAACTCAGTAAGTATTTTCCAAGTGACTTGAGAACTTTCATAATATAAATATGGACTCCACAAATCAGCATAGGCTCTTCCATGCATATAGACACAGACGATCTTTGTCCATATCTAGTCGGGATTCACCCCTGGTGGGCACATGCTGGGCTGGGAGAACCAGCTACATGTGCCAGGACAAGGTAATGTGTCATTGTGGCCTACTGTGCAGGCCTGGGCCAGTGAGCACTCAATTTTCCTACTGCCATAAGCCCCTCAACTGCCCCCTCTGTGAAAGGAGTTCCTCTCCCTGAACTACCTCCAGCTTGTCTCAGGAATCTGTCAGAGTTAAATGAAGGTACAAAGATGAAATGCTTTACAGTGCTGATGTGGTTCATGCTGTTGGCTGGACTTACTGGCTTGGTTTTTTTCACAAGAGGACAGTGCAAGGCTTCTTCATCTCCTCTCCAAACATCTTTCCTGACCCCTGTACCCACATTTTTTCATCCCCAGTGTGCCATTGAATCCTGAGCAGGTTAAAGATTAAGCCATCATCTTCTCTTGTGAGGCTCCCACCTGTTAAGACCAGCAGATAAGGCCCAGCCACATACTTTCTCTCTTTCCCCAAACCCCT